GCTATAGATTCCCTTTAATATAAGAATATATCATATATAAGTGATGTAACATTTGCTGCCTCTGCAGGTCTCGGGACCAGTCAGCTCTCCGGACATTTGGACTTTTTCCCTAATGGAGGGGAGGAGATGCTCGGATGTGCAAAGAACGCCCTCTCCCAGATCGTGGACCTGGATGGTATCTGGCAAGGTAACGCATCACAGTATACGCTATATACATATCACACACCGCGCTCGGGGCGGGATCTCTGCATAGCCAACAGAGGCTTCAGCCTACGGCGACAGGACTGGACGGGGCGGCACAGAGACTCCTGCGTATAATAGTCCCGGGTGACACTTTGTAATGAGACTCGTAATGCTACAATGTATCATAATATAATATGAAATGTCTCGTCCTGAGAGAGCAAACGTTTCCTGTGTCCACATCAGTCTCTGTACAGAGGAGCTTACACTCTAATGTCCCCTCCCCCCACAGTCACATCAGTCTCTGTACAGAGGAGCTTACACTCTAATGTCCCCTCCCCCACAGTCACACACTATGACTATACATGTATATAGCTCTGACATATACCGCGGCGCTGTGCAGCTCTGACATATTCGGCATACTTCGTCTCCTCCAGGAACTCGGAATTTCGTTGCCTGCAATCACCTGAGAAGTTACAAATATTACTCGGAGAGCATCCTGAAACGTGACGGCTTCGTCGGCTACCCCGCCTCCTCCTACAGCACCTTCGCCTCGGTGAGTCGCTGGCGCCGCGGTCACATCTGTATCCAGCACGAGACGCGTTTTATCTGAGAAGCCAACTAAACCTCAACACACACACACACTGCCATCTGATTGTACAATCTCCGATAGATCTTCCAGCAAGTCTGTAGTGCAGGGGGAGGGGGGGCGGCCTGACTGGATTAGACAGAATGGATTGGTTAGAATTGGGAGGCGCTCATATTACCTCGTGTTGGTGAATGGAATGTTGATTGTACGGTCAGGTTGTAACATTTTGCAGTGACCCTTAGGGCTCGTTCATAACCAATTCGCAGAGCCCTTCACCCTGCAAATATCTCAGAACTACGAGGTCAGGGCTTTCCCCCCATAGTCCTCCTCAGGGTAACGGGAGGACACAAACTAGCGTCCTCCCGTCACCCTAGGCTCAGTATATAGCGGGCTACAGCTCGCAGTATACTGAGACGCCGCAGCCGGGGCGGATCCCGACATTACTGTGGAGATCCGCCCAGCTGATTCTCATTGTCACAGGTCGGCTGGAACTATGAGGTGAGTGGAAATCACTCATCTCATAGTTCTCCTTTAATGTATTTTCTCTTCAGGTTGAATGCAATGCAGAGCAGTACCACAATGTGGCCACTAGATGGAGCTGAGCAGTACAGCAAACGTGTATTTATTTCCTATGTGCCTCAGCTCCATCTAGTGGCCACGTTGTGGTACTGCTCTGCATTGCATTCAACCTGAAGAGAAAATACATTAACAACGTTCATTTTGTCATTATTCACACCGAGTGAACGTTCTCAGATATTTACAGGGTGAAGGGCTCTGTGGTGAATTGGTTATGAACACACCCGATGGTCTCTATTTTGGGGGTCTCAGCAGTAAAATATGTAGAAGGGGGACCTGGAGCACCAAGTGCCCCCCTCCATACCGATTTCTGGTGGAAGGGAACACGGGATTTACAAAGTATCCGGATCTGAGGTCTCTGTGTTGCTGAATTCATGTATTTCCTTCAATGATAACTATCTGCCTGTCCTTGTCCTCAGGGCACCGGCTTCCCATGTCCTAGTGGAGGATGTCCCCTGATGGGTCACTATGCCGATTCCTATTCCGGGGTCACTTCTTCCAGCCAAAGATTCTACTTCAACACCGGAGACCAGAGCGGCTCCTTCTCCCGTATGTGTGATGTATATCTGACCTCCGTCCTCCCCTTCAGTCTTCTATCTGACCTCCGTCCTTCCCTTCAGTCTTCTATCTGACCTCCGTCCTCCCCTTCAGTCTTCTATCTGACCTCCGTCCTTCCCTTCAGTCTTCTATCTGACCTCCGTCCTCCCCTTCAGTCTTCTGTCTGACCTCCGTCCTTACCTTCAGTCTTCTATCTGACCTCCGTCCTCCCCTTCAGTCTTCTATCTGACCTCCGTCCTTCCCTTCAGTCTTCTATCTGACCTCCGTCCTTCCCTTCAGTCTTCT